CTCAAAAGTAAAATCTCGCCCATCGGTTTCAATAATTTTTTCATCAATTTCCAGTCACCTAATGAATGTAACAGTTTGTTATATGTAATTCTATTAAACTTTAACCCTATCCTTACAACCTTTTTTTCACTGTATTTGACTACAAGTTTGGTCAAATTGACCTGTATACTTTTTAATAAGAGTCCTTTAATTTTTGGATGAAATTATGTATTTTAACAATTAAGTATGGTGTTAACATAAGCATCCTTCCAAAACTTAAGTTTTTTGTTGTTTGTTTTTGGTTATAAATTGTGCAAAACTACATTATTAAATAATAAAACAATACCAATACATTTTAAATAACAAGAAACCTGTGTTATGTTAAATTATTTTGTATTCATTTGGGGTTAAAGGTCTAAAGGGTGTATTGGGGGGGGGGGGGGGGAGCACAATGGGATGTTGTGTTGTGTAGTAAAGCTGACAGTTTCCGGAATATGGGGTGGAATAGCTGTTACTTATGTTGTCAAACATCTTTAATCACTTGTCTCTGTTGTGTTTATTCTGGTCGGGTTTACCATCAACAGTTTAGTCTGGTCGGGTTTAACATCAACAGTACCTAAGCCATTACACTGACCATCAGGAAATATTGCACACGGCTCACACAACCACGTGAGTTGGCAAAGTTACGTAATGACAGGACACATACATACAAAAGAACCTAGACAACATTTATCAAAGACTTTTCTCAGAACTGTAGATCTCTGGACTAAACATGTTTTTATAAATGAGGCCAAGTTTGATCTTGGTGTGATATTCCCAGTCTAATAGGAAAACATGAATGTGACACCCAGCTGAGTACAGGCTAATGTTCGTACGATCCACTGGTATTTGACATCACGTGACCGCAGATGGGTGAGTTCGAGCAGCCCCCACCATACTAGAATATGGGATACCATTGGTAAGACAGAGACCATTTATAAACATGGGGTGTTAATTTGACATGTGTCGGTATCCATCATTCCATTATTATATATTGTGTAACGTAGGTAAGAATTACTAGGCGTTTTAACATGCATAACCTTAGGCTGCCTGGTTGTAAGTTCTATATAACGTAACTATTTAAACGTTTCATTAAAGTTCAGCTTATTAGAAGAGTGGAGGTGAGATTAAGGGTATGCAACAGTTAGGGATCCCACCCCTGGAGTTGTAGGTGAGGTCAGGTGCGGAGTTCACTACTTGAGGGTGGGGGGGATAGGTTGAGGTCTAGAGTTTTAAAGCCGTCGGAATGTAGTTTTTCGACTGCTTTTTGTGTGTTAAATTCAAGATTAGTATCACTCATCATGCACATTACGTTCGCTAAGCTAAACTACATCGGTATTTTATTTCTAATCGTCAAGTTGTCTACTGGTGCTTTGCCTATTTCGCCACACAATTTCTTCACTTAAAGGACGCCAGCCGGCCACCACTTTAAGAGGCTACTGTCACAATTGCCTATAAGTGGAGCCTGGCTGGATGTGACTCCTGGGGTCGCCCTTAATGTTATGGCTGCCTGTCACGCAGCGTGTGACTAATATTGACACGTCACGTGTGACTAACATTGACACGTCACGTGTGACTAACATTGACACGTCACGTGTGACTAACATTGACACGTCACGAGTGACTAACATTGACACGTCACGAGTGACTAACATTGACACGTCACGAGTGACTAACATTGACACGTGACGCTATGGAATAAGATCACAAGCTTAAAAACAAAACGAATCGATACAATCAAATAAAAAACATTGGAACATTATACAATGTCGTTAAGATGCTGCGTGTATAGCGTGTATAGCGTTTATAGCGCGGCATTTAAAATGTTAGCTGGGCAACTGAAGTGTACCATTATCTATTTAACAAAAATATACAATGGTGCACTGAGTCAGTTCAACCGTCACGTGATGTCAATACGTAAGGGAAATACTAAATGAAACACTTGACTTATTTAAGGGTTGTAAATCTTGCCCCTAGAGTTTTTCTCTATTTTGGACAAACCACAATACTACAGATAAAAGCTTACAGACCGGACATGCTAGAACTGTCTGTTCTGATGATAAAAGCTTACAGACCGGACATGGGCTAGAACTGTCTGTTCTGATGATAAAAGCTTACAGACCGGACATGCTAGAACTGTCTGTTCTGATGATAAAATCTTACAGACCGGACATGTGCTAGAACTGTCTGTTCTGATGATAAAAGCTTACAGACCGGACATGCTAGAACTGTCTGTTCTGATAATAAAAGCTTACAGACCGTGCATGCTAAAACTGTCTGTTCTGATGATAAAAGCTTACAGACCGGACATGCTAGAACTGTCTGTTCTGATGATAAAAGCTTACAGACCGGATATGCGCTAGAACTGTCTGTTCTGATGATAAAAGCTTACAGACCGTGCATGCTAGAACTGTCTGTTCTGATGATAAAAGCTTACAGACCGGACATGCTAGAACTGTCTGTTCTGATGATAAAAGCTTACAGACCGGATATGCGCTAGAACTGTCTGTTCTGATGATAAAAGCTTACAGACCGGACATGCGCTAGAAATGTCCTGATGATAAAAGCTTACAGACCGGACATGGGCTAGAACTGTCTGTTCTGATGATAAAAGCTTACAGACCGGACATGGGCTAGAACTGTCTGTTCTGATGATAAAAGCTTACAGACCGGACATGCTAGAACTGTCTGTTCTGATGATAAAAGCTTACAGACCGGACATGCTAGAACTGTCTGTTCTGATGATAAAAGCTTACAGACCGGACATGGGCTAGAACTGTCTGTTCTGATGATAAAAGCTTACAGACCGGACATGCTAGAACTGTCTGTTCTGATGATAAAAGCTTACAGACCGGACATGGGCTAGAACTGTCTGTTCTGATGATAAAAGCTTACAGACCGTGCATGCTAGAACTGTCTGTTCTGATGATAAAAGCTTACAGACCGGACATGGGCTAGAACTGTCTGTTCTGATGATAAAAGCTTACAGACCGTGCATGCTAGAACTGTCTGTTCTGATGATAAAAGCTTACAGACCGGACATGCTAGAACTGTCTGTTCTGATGATAAAAGCTTACAGACCGGATATGCGCTAGAACTGTCTGTTCTGATGATAAAAGCTTACAGACCGGACATGCGCTAGAAATGTCCTGATGATAAAAGCTTACAGACCGGACATGGGCTAGAACTGTCTGTTCTGATGATAAAAGCTTACAGACCGGACATGGGCTAGAACTGTCTGTTCTGATGATAAAAGCTTACAGACCGGACATGCTAGAACTGTCTGTTCTGATGATAAAAGCTTACAGACCGGACATGCGCTAGAACTGTCTGTTCTGATGATAAAAGCTTACAGACCGGACATGGGCTAGAACTGTCTGTTCTGATGATAAAAGCCTACAGACCGGACATGCTAGAACTATATATATCTGTTCTGATGATAAAAGCTTACAGACCGGACATGCTAGAACTGTCTGTTCTGATACTAAGGCGGGATGAGATGATTTTCAGAACGTGCCGAGTTAAAAGTGTGTCAAATATTTAACCTTTGACCCTGTCAAGATGGACGATTCGTTCTAAAATGTTATTACTCCCCTTTGTTTGTTAAACGTCGTGATTGAGCGATTTCTCTCTCCCCCCCCCCCCCCCCCTTAGCTAAAACCCGTCGTGTGTTGCGCTAAACACAAATTCGTGTCTTTAGACCTGGGTGGGGGGGGGGGGGGTCGGTGAAGATTATATATATATATATGTAAGCCTTCACGGGGGGGGGGGTAACTATACTATGTCCCTAGGCTTATGTATATCAGGTCTGTGCTAGTAAGCTCATACTGACTGGTTATTATCCCAAGTGTAGGGGGAAAACATGGTAATTAAAAAGTCTAGTGACAATTTTAGCGCAATTTCCTTATGTTATCTAAAAATAGCTCTGTCGTAGCGTAAATCAAGAGCAGGGTTAGTAAAACCATTGGTTAGTTATTAAAACGTTTTTTATTAATTTTATTTTCAGTATTTTACATGTTTTATTTACAATAGAGTTACATGACTAAAAACCATTGCGCGCCTAGCTACTGAACGTGATGACGCAGCCATTGAACGTGATGGCGCAGCTATTGAACGTGATGACGCGTGTGGTGTGGTTGGATAAACATGCCTACTAATTCGGTCCAAATTTTAATTAATTAAAAAAAAAATTTGTGACCGAACGAAAGGATATTTTTGAAAACTTTCTTCGGCAATATTGTTCTAAATTATGACAGGAATCGATTGGCAAATTTTTCAAGTCGCTAAGTGGTCTGGTTGCCGAGATATGGGCCAAAAACTGCTTTTTCCCCGAGGTTTTTTGGCTTTTCCAGGAAATCCGGGAAGAAATTCCGGAATTTTTTTGGCCCACTATCATTCTCGTAACTTGCTTAACATAATTGCTTTTGAAACTAGTCCTCGATATTGCTTCGTTGAGGAGGAGATACGACATAAAGCTGCGAACACACATCCATGCATCCATACATTCATACATCCAGAAATGACGGGTTAATAAACGCAATTCTCCTGAATGGAAATTGCTAAAAACACAGGAAAAAAGTCGCGGGAAAAAACACGGGAAAAAAGTCATCAAGTTATAGGCTTTTGAAAAATTCAAAGTAGAAAAAGTACCACTTCCGGTTATCGGAAATCGTTCAAAAGTTGTTCAGGATCTACGATTTTGATAAAACACTTATATATGAAATTTCACCAATCTAGCTGTAACGGTACTCAAGTTATCGTGTTTACACACAGACAGACAGACACACAGACATACGGACAAGATAGCAAAATTATGGTTTTCCGTATCAGTGAGGTGTAAAACGTCGAGATTTGTAAAAATCTAGATTTTTTTTTTGCACGATTACAAGACTTTCTCTATACGAGAAAGTAAAAAAGCAGGCGATCATTCTCCTTACAGCAGCACGAGCCTACACCAAAACAACACCATCACATTGGCTTATCTTTGTTTATTTACTCTCCACACGCAGGTACACTCGTCCATTATAACATTAACAGGCTATGTCCAGCTCATAACAAACGGGCGCCATGTTTGTTTACATTCTACACAAGAGCAGACAACTACAAGTCACATTCTTCCCATGACCCGCTATAATTTAATCCAGTAGGGTTACATCCAGTATGGGCATGGCTAGACCAAGCACACCCTACTCTGTACACAAAAGCCCCACTGCTACCTGGACAGGTACAAGTTGTGTACGTGTACCTGCTTATTTTACCCTCCCCCACATGCCCGTTTACTTCCGGTCTGGGTGACTCATGTCTGTCCACCCAGTGACCTACAGAGACCTGCTTAGAACAGCCATGAGGATGTGACACTATAATGGTCAGCTTGTCCACATCTCTACGACTCTTGTATTTGTCCTCTAGTTTTTGCCATAGATCAATATACCGAACCATTGTCTTCCTCACCTTTTCATATAGATCTATATCATGTGTCGCACAATTCAAAATTGACATATCGTTCACAATGATTGATCCACTCTTCCACACATAAATTTTGACTTCTGGACTTTTATCATCATCAAACCACAACCTACAGCTGGACTTTCTCGCCTCACTCTCATCAAAAACCACATGTGAAGCTGTCACCACCTGAATCCTCCACCACACTTTGCTGGGTGTGTCCGAGTGCTCACATTCAGGACATGGACAAGTTCTGTAGTCCCTCAGGCCTTGTGTAATCTCGGCTACCGTCAACACCCTCCCAGTCCCTGTCCTCATTATTCTCTTGCCCCTGGTGTTGTAGCAAGGATATGGATCTTTAGTACCTGGTGTAAACTCTGGTCTGTCTGGACTGATGTACTTAACGGCTATCCTGACAGTTATGTGAGCTACAAATTTTATAAAGTCGTACAGGTCGTTGTCATGGTAACCAGAAGGAAAATGTTCAAGACCTAACTGTTTTACAGGTATAAAGTGTTTATGGCCAGGATTTTTCTTGCAATTTGCCATGTGTGTGTGTAGACATGCCTCACCTTGACCTTCAAGACATTCTTGTACTTCATGTGTACCTGTACAAGTAAACAAAACAATTTTATTACTGTAAACATTTCATTAGTTGTTAAAATATAAAATTGAAAAAAAAACATGGCATGACTAAAACTGATCGAGCACCAAACAAAGACAAAGATTGTGCGAATAATAGCGCTGAAAAGAGTACTGTATATAGAAACATTTTATTAACTTTTTAAAATTAATTAAGCGCATGGTTAAGTGGAATTTGATGTCACATTGCATTGTCATCGAGTCTTGATCCACGTGCCAAGTTTTAAAATAACGCTCCTCCGTTTCGGCGAAGCACTTAGCACAACAAAAGCACGATAAAACAAGTTAAATAAAAGCGTTTAATATAATCGCTTGTAAAAATCTACAACCTCCAAATAAATTTTCCAAACACCTTAACCATGCAGTAAAAAGTCAACAACACAAGGATTACACCTAAACCAAATCATTGACCAATCTCATTGTCATTTTTTTTTTTAAATAATATAGAAATATCCGCATCATTTTGTTCTAAATAATAAGAACATGAATGGACATTACCTGAAAAATATTTTGATATGTCCTCATCATTGGTCATACTCTTCTGATCATCTAAATTACCCAGGATATTTTCTGTTGATAAAATACAACATAGTAGTTTAAACATCAGCACCAATAGACATATATTTAGTCAAAGGAAATGCTAATGCAAATGTTTACCTGTTAAATTGTTTGATATATTATTACTGGCCATCTTTTCACCGCTGGCCATTATTTCCCATACTGGCCATTACTCTAGTCCTAGGGTCATTGGTTGCAATTCATTATTTTAATTATGTGTGACCCTCACATGACATTAAAGTGTAATACAAAATGTCAAAATGCATTTTAAAACAAAAAAAAATTAGCATTATTATAAAGTTAACGAGAAAAATGGTCCGTTGAGGAAGGATACAAAGGGCGCTAGGTTGATAGTGCTATTTCTCTAAACTAAAACCAAAACCAAAATCACCACCTTAATTCAATTTAACTGGAAAAGAAAAATGACAGTGAAAACGGATTTTATCCAGAATCGGTACTTTAATAGGATTTAAGCTTGATCTCTGCGTAGTTACTGCACATTGATATTAAATATAGTTGTGGCCATACTCCTAAACCTTGCAACTTATCTCAATCATGACAAAAGTCCCATTTTGAGTTTCTTTTAGTCAAATCTACTTGCCCCCCCCCCCCCCCCCCCCGCACACACACACCTCAAAGCACATCTACCGTCCCATACAACGAAATAACATTTTTATAGAAAATCTACTTCACCAGTGTACGCCCCCTGCAAGAAAATTTTGTCCACACGAATCCCCGAAAATTTCAAGTACCACCCCCCCCCCCACTCATTGGAGGAAAAAGTCTGAAAGATACACTGATCGTATTTGTTGATCATACAGACTAAAGGTAGAGCCTACTTCTATAATTTAGACCTCGTTTCCTACTTTTGGCCGATAAACCTCACTCTCGTAGACAGTGTTTCTTTCATTTATTTTTCTGGGGGTGAGGCACTTGAATTTTTGCAGAGGCAAATAAAATTATCCGGGGCGGAGGAGCCCGACACTGGTAAAAGTATAATATATTTTGTATATAAATTATATTTCGTTTTTTAGGGGGAGGGATTAGACGTTCTACCAGGGGGAGGGAGGGGGTGGTTAAATGGGCTTCGCCCCTACCCGAAGAGATGCATGATATAAACTCTGCAAGCAAACCACTTTTTATATTAGACACATGAATTAAGCGGTAATTTTTATAATAGAGTATCGATGACGACATTTCTTTTGAGTTGAGGGGGGGGGGGGGGGGGGGGGGGCTTAGACGTTCTTACGCAGGGGTGGGGCTTCGCAAAAAGGTGAATTTTCGCTCCGGCGTTTCGATCTAGACAGACTGACGAGGAAATGAGTTAAATATAAGCTTGTAAAAATCATGTCTATATCCCGAGTTGCCATCCCCTTTTGTTTCAGATAAGAATATTCGAGAAAGTTTAGGGGAGGTCACTCCCGGTTTATTTAATTCGTTTTTTTTTCCCATTAAATGCATTATGTAGACTTTAAAAACGTAATTTGTTAACCCCAAAGACAGAAATGAATCATTTGTAAAATCATTTATAAAACTTTCATATTAAATCAACACTAACTAGTTGATCGCTAACACACCTACCTGCTGCATCATCCAACTATAAGATCCAATATGGTGTCGCTCTATTTTTAGACTGAATGACGGGTAGTGGAAAACGAAACAAGAAATACGGGTTTTTTAAGGGGGGGGGGGGGGTATGGCTTTTTTTGTTGTTGTCATTTTTAGGGGATTTTTTTTTTTTTTGGCAACGTTGGCACAGCGTACGGTCTCTGTAAGGTGTATTTTAGGCTCTGTTCATGAAATATTTTCAACGTTTGAAAAGTTTATACATTTGACAAACCTTTCACAGGCTACAGTGTGTATGTGTGTGTGTGTGTGTGTGTGTGTAGGGGGGTGGGTGGGTGTGTTATAATCTGAATATTTTATTCGAAACATAAAGCAAGTATCGTCTTTCCCTTGATATATGTTAGAGTGCTGTAGGGCGCCCATGACCTATGTTAGGATGCTGTAGGGCGCCCATGATCTATGTTAGGGCGCTGTAGGGCGCCCATGATCTATGTTAGGATGCTGCATGGCGCCCATGATCTATGTTCGGGCTCTGTAGGGCGCCCATGATCTATGTTAGGATGCTGTAGGGCGCCCATGATCTATGTTAGGATGCTGTAGGGCGCCCATGACGCCAAGATCTATGTTAGGGTGCTGTAGGGCGCCCATGATCTATGTTAGGATGTTGTAGGGCGCCCATGATCTATGTTAGGATGCTGTAGGGTGCCCATGATCTATGTTAGGATGCTGTAGGGCGCCCATGATCTATGTTTGGATGCTGTAGGGCGCCCAAGATCTATGTTAGGATGTTGTAGGGCGCCCATGATCTAAATTAGGGTGCTGTAGGGCGCCCATGATCTATGTTAGGGTGCTGTAGGTCGCACATGATCTATGTTAGGATGCTGTAGGGCGCCCATGACGCCAAGATCTCTGTTAGGATGCTGTAGGGCGCCCATGATCTATGTTAGGATGTTGTATGGCGCCCATGATCTATGTTAGGATGTTGTATGGCGCCCATGATCTATGTTAGGATGTTGTATGGCGCCCATGATCTATGTTAGGATGTTGTATGGCGCCCATGATCTATGTTAGGGTGCTGTAGGTGCCCATGATCTATGTTAGGGTGCTGTAGGGCGCCCATGATCTATGTTAGGGTGCTGTAGGGCGCCCATGATATATGTTAGGGTGTTGTAGGTGCCCATGATCTATGTTAGGGTGTTGTAGGGCGCCCATGATCTATGTTAGGGTGCTGTAGGGCGCCCATGATCTGTTAGGATGTTGTAGGGCGCCCATGATCTATGTTAGGATGCTATAGGGCGCCCATGATCTATGTTAGGATGCTGTAGGGCGCCCATGATCTATGTTAGGATGCTATAGGGCGCCCATGATCTATGTTAGGATGCTGTAGGGCGCCCATGATCTATGTTAGGGTGCTGTAGGTGCCCATGATCTATGTTAGGATGTTGTATGGCGCCCATGATCTATGTTAGGGTGCTGTAGGGCGCCCATTATCTATGTTAGGATGCTGTAGGGCGCCCATGATCTATGTTAGGGTGCTGTAGGTCGCACATGATCTATGTTAGGATGCTGTAGGGCGCCCATGACGCCAAGATCTCTGTTAGGATGCTGTAGGGCGCCCATGATCTATGTTAGGATGTTGTATGGCGCCCATGATCTATGTTAGGGTGTTGTATGGCGCCCATGATCTATGTTAGGATGTTGTATGGCGCCCATGATCTATGTTAGGATGTTGTATGGCGCCCATGATCTATGTTAGGGTGCTGTAGGTGCCCATGATCTATGTTAGGGTGCTGTAGGGCGCCCATGATCTATGTTAGGGTGCTGTAGGGCGCCCATGATATATGTTAGGGTGTTGTAGGTGCCCATGATCTATTTTAGGGTGTTGTAGGGCGCCCATGATCTATGTTAGGGTGCTGTAGGGCGCCCATGATCTATGTTAGGATGTTGTAGGGCGCCCATGATCTATGTTAGGATGCTATAGGGCGCCCATGATCTATGTTAGGATGCTGTAGGGCGCCCATGATCTATGTTAGGGTGCTGTAGGTGCCCATGATCTATGTTAGGATGTTGTATGGCGCCCATGATCTATGTTAGGGTGCTGTAGGGCGCCCATTATCTATGTTAGGATGCTGTAGGGCGCCCATGATCTATGTTAGGATGCTGTAGGGAGCCCATGATCTATGTTAGGATGCTGTAAAATAAATAGCTTTAAATATATATTATCTCATTTGTTTTTGTGTGGAAAGGGTCTACTGTAAACGTCAGAGTACTTGAATTTGTTTTGTATTGCTCAAATCTCTCAGTGAAAACATCCTTCATTTTGTTAATAGTAATGCTGAAGTGATTCATGGTAATAGTAGCATTGGTTTCATCAAGATATTTTTTTAAAAACATTTTTCGTAATTAAGTAATTTGCCACTTTCCATGTCCTTAGCAAAAGAAGTATTTTTTTTCGAAACAAACTTCTTCAGGCAAGGCATAGGCTAAGTTTTCCCTTCCTTTCAGCTTTACATTTAGCTCGTTTAGTTTCTTCATGATATCCGACATGTTGTTACAAAGTTGAAAGTTTCAATTCCGAATGGACAATTTAAAAAATAATAGGAAGTACATTGAAATGTTGAGTAACTAGATATTCTAATAAAAAAGTTAGTGTTACTTGTTTATGTGTATTATTATATCGCTGATTACCGAGTGTTGTAGAACAATATTTTTATGAGTTTTTAAAAAAAAAAAAAATTTTCATATTTGTGCATGGAGCTTTCAAAATAAAGGCATATTCGAAAGAAGAAACACATTTTCCCACGTTTTCTTTAACTTGCTTTCGTCTCTGTTTGTTTGTCTTTCCAATCAAATCTTGCGATCGAAATTTCTGGCACTTCCCAGTTAGCTAGCGCGCTGAAATTTTGATTGTAGGAAAAAAAGTCACAGGAAAAAAAAAAAAAAACACAGGAAAAAAAATACAGAAAAAAAGTCACAGGAAAAAAAGTCACAGGAAAAAAAATCACAGGAAAAAAAGTCACAGGAAAAAAGTCACAAATATATATTTGCATGATATTTGTTAATACTTTTATGTATTAAATATTTAGAGAGTGCAAATTAACTTAGGATTAATTAAATGTAATGTAATGTGTGTAGGCTGTATACGTATAGGAATTTTTATAATTCATCTAAAAATATTTATTATGAAGTATGTAGATTGTAATTATTTTCAACTTAAGATTAGTAGCATTTAATAAAATGCTCCAAAGGCCACGTTTTTCATCGTGTTTTTTTTTAAAATACCAATAGTAAATTACCGTGAAATGGCAAGTTCATCTGACTTGCTGCCCTCAACTCATGGCAACAATAGTTATGTTTAGTTCAACCACCTTTACTGCCCACATTTATCACGCTCATTACATAACAAAACTTAGGATCAAAACAGAAAGCCGACAAGGTTCAAAGGCTGTCATTGACGCATAACGTCAACAACACAAAATACGTTCGGACAATGCCTACTGAGGAGAGGCCGACCAGAGAATAGCCTACGGCAAAATGTGCCTATATTTCTTTTATAGGTAACTTTTCTACCGTGTATTTAACTAAATACGTAACAAAAGTTGAGATTGTTGTGTTAATTATCTTAGAGTATTTTTTACTTACGATTGTTATAAATCATAATGCTTTTAACGTCTATAAATAATTTATGCTATAAAAAAATACAACCCACAACAATAAACATACAAAATTTACAATTCTTAACAAATTAATAAAAAGATTTCTAAAAAGATTTTTGTGACTTTTTTCTGTGACTTTATTTCTGTGACTTTTTTTCCGATAAAACGGAAAAAAAGTCACAGGAAAAAAGTCACAGTGGAAAAATTTTATCGGAAAAAAAGTCACAGAAACTATTGTTGCCATGAGTTGAGGGCAGCAAGTCAGATGAACTTGCCATTTCACGGTAATTTACTATTGGTATTTAAAAAAAAAACACGATGAAAAACGTGGACTTTGGAGCATTTTATTAAATGCTACTAATCTTAAGTTGAAAATAATTACAATCTACATACTTCATAATAAATATTTTTAGATGAATTATAAAAATTCCTATGCGTATACAGCCTACACACATTACATTACATTTAATTAATCCTAAGTTAATTTGCACTCTCTAAATATTTAATACATAAAAGCATTAACAAATATCATGCAAATATATATTTGTGACTTTTTTTCCTGTGACTTTTTTTCCTGTGACTTTTTTTCCTGTGACTTTTTTTCTGTGTTTTTTTTCCTGTGTTTTTTTTTTCCTGTGACTTTTTTTCCTACAATCGAAATTTTCAGGGAAGCTTTGTTTAGGATGACATTAGAATATTCAATTGTTATTATTACTAAATTGATCCATGGAAACATTTTATTGAGCATTTTAGACCGCTGTATAATATATATATATATATATAATTCTCCTCTGCGAGCCATTAGAAAACAAGCTGCAAGCGCCTCCTTACAGTCCCCTCTCTTTCTCTTTCTCTCTATCACTACCACTACCACCCTACCCCCACATGGTCTGCTGAGCTGTGGTCACGTTAATGTTTACAAACCGTACAGCCAGGTTTAGTGACGGTTATTAGGGGCAGATAATTTAGTTTGAACCGACTTTAAACTTACAGGAGGTAACTAAGAGGGGGCTGCTTTCACGGGGGGGGGGGGTGTAGGGTCGGGGTTAGGGGAAAGGAGGGGGGTTAGTGTTTTAAAGCAAATATTTTCAGTGGCAGCATTGGTACTGTCGAATTCACAAATTATGAATTACTGAAAAGTAGAAAATAAATCAACTAAATAGCGGCGTATGATACGCCGCGGGTCGGCTCGTTGTAGTAAAAACGTGGGGAAAAAGGGACATAACCCAGTAACTGTAATTTGTGTACAAACAACCGTAACAACTGGTGGCCAGTATGGGGGAGACGATATGGTTGAGTGGTTGGGCACACGATTGCTATCCCACTCGTGTTTTTTACGAGTTGTCTTTTTACGAGTTGTCTTTTTACGAGTTGTCTTCGTTTACCCAAAAAAAGTGAAAAGATAAAATCGATAGCAAGATTTTAATGCAAACAAACAAAGACTAAAAAGTAGAAAATAATAATCATTAAAAAAGTTTTTAAAAAACCACGTTTTCTGATTGAACTAAAAAGTAGAAAAGAAATGCTATACATCACAATAATGCAAGCGATCACTCTACTATAAGCGATGAAAAACGTGGGGCGCCGAAGTAAAAGTTATATTACTATTGATTAGATAAATTAGAGTGATCGCTTGCATTATTGTGATGTATAGCATTTATTTTGTACTTTTTAGTTCAATCAGAACACGTGGGTTTTTAAAAACTTTTTAATGATTATTATTTAATTATACAACCGGAAAAGTGTTTATGGTTGTGACAAGAACAAAAAAAAATCAATGACGTCAAATCACATGTTTAGACTACGAAAAGTACACAAAACAAATGGCGACATCATCCAATTTAAGAATACTATTATGAAGAAATTAGCTATTTCATTCAAATTTGATTTAGACCTACAGATCTACTTATAAAGACGTACGCTATGAAATGTATACAATTTTCTCCACCTAAAGTAACACAAACCACAATAAAAACAACATAATGACCATTGAGCAGCCTGGGTTTTAACGGAATCATTTAAGTCTCTTAATCAGTTGTGTTAACTATTAATGTAGGCCTTTATAATTTGCTTTTTCTCATAGGTGTTTTTCTAATCAAATGTTTCGGATTTTTAGATATTTAGTTATCTGTTTGCTTTGTCACTAATATCGTTCAACGTGTAATAAAGCACATTGCGTTTTGACCAATAACTGTTTTATAAAATACGAGCTGACCCGCGACGAAGCATTCGCCGCTATTTAGTTATTTTATTTTATTCTTATCAACAATTCATAATTTGTGAACTCGACACTACCCCACATCAACCTGTGTACTTACACTCCAACCTTCAACTATTCTCCAAGTCACCCCTACACACCTCCTTTCTCTCGCTCACAGCCACTGTCACACGACCAGTCGCTTCCCTTGTACCCTCGTTCAATCCGTACAACATACACGTCAACACGGCGCTGTCACTAGACCAGTTGCTTCCCTTGTACCCTCGTTCACTCCGTACAACAACATACACGTCAACACACCCGGCCTCGTGTCACGCTACTGGACACATACACACACGCACACGCACACACACACACACACACACACACACACGCAGTGATCCGTCCCACTTATTTAAATTTCATGCACATTACATCACTACAATAAGCGTACGCTGATTTATGTTGTAAAGAATGTTTTAGCAGATAGGATGTCTCCCAGCGTGGTGGCACTGTTGTGCACCGTGTTGAACAGAATGTTGAACATGTTGAAAAGATTTTGAATAGAACCCACCATATTCAAGACATCGCCTGCTACTTCGGCTACTAAATCAGCCAAGTATTTCATATTTTATGTCAATTAAAAATATTTTTTATTTCATATATCGTTCAGAGCGTAGGTTTGGTAATTTTGAATACGATTTTTAAAAAAAATATAGCTGTCTATATTTCCAAATGATTGACACATTTTATGTAAAATTTAGGAATAAAATTAAATACTGCGAATCTTTGCAAGACAATGTCAGCAACAAGCAAAGTCCAGAAACCTAGATAATTTTTATTTAGATTCTAGCCAGCTAGATCTATATCTCGACTATATAAAGTATCAAAATATCAATATTCTACATTCTTGTATCCAATGAAAGAATAAAATCTTCCAGACCTAAATCTTGGTTTATGGGGTACATGAAGGTCCGTGTTACACCCAGTGGTCCGTGTTACACCCAGTGGTCCGTGTTACACAAAACCCAGTGGTCCGTGTTACACCCAGTGGTCCGTGTTACACCCAGTGGTCCGTGTTACACCACACCCAGTGGTCCGTGTTACACCCAGTGGTCCGTGTTACACCACACCCAGTGGTCCGTGTTACAACCAGTGGTCCGTGTTACACCCAGCGGTCCGTGTTACACCCAGTGGTCCGTGTTACACCCAGTGGTCCGTGTTACACCACACCCAGTGGTCCGTGTTACACCCAGTGGTCCGTGTTACACCCAGTGGTCCGTGTTACACCACACCCAGTGGTCCGTGTTACACCCAGTGGTCCGTGTTACACCCAGTGGTCCGTGTTACACCACACCCAGTGGTCCGTGTTACACCACACCCAGTGGTCCGTGTTACACCCAGTGGTCCGTGTTACACCACACCCAGTGGTCCGTGTTACATCACACCCAGTGGTCCGTGTTACACCACACCCAGTGGTCCGTGTTACACCACACCCAGTGGTCCGTGTTACACCACACCCAGTGGTCCGTGTTACACCCAGTGGTCCGTGTTACACCCAGTGGTCCGTGTTACACCACACCCAGTGGTCCGTGTTACACCACACCCAGTGGTCCGTGTTACATCACACCCAGTGGTCCGTGTTAAACCACACCCAGTGGTCCGTGTTACACCCAGTGGTCCGTGTTACACCACACCCAGTGGTCCGTGTTACACCACACCCAGTGGTCCGTGTTACACCACACTCAGTGGTCCGTGTTACACCACACCCAGTGGTCCGTGTTACACCACCCCAGTGGTCCGTGTTACGCCCAGTGGTCCGTGTTACACCACACCCAGTGGTCCGTGTTACACCCAGTGGTCCGTGTTACACAACACCCAGTGGTCCGTGTTACACCACACCCAGTGGTCCGTGTTACACCATGTGGTCCGTGTTACACCACACCCAGTGGTCCGTGTTACACCACACCCAGTGGTCCGTGTTACACCACACCCAGTGGTCCGTTTTACACCACACCCAGTGGTCCGTGTTACACCCAGTGGTCCGTGTTACACCCAGTGGTCCGTGTTACACCACACCCAGTGGTCCGTGTTACACCACACCCAGTGGTCCGTGTTACACCCAGTGGTCCGTGTTACACCCAGTGGTCCGTGTTACACCCAGTGGTCCGTGTTACACCACACCCAGTGGTCCGTGTTACACCACACCCAGTGGTCCGTGTTACACCACACCCAGTGGTCCGTGTTACACCACACCCAGTGGTCCGTGTTACACCCAGTGGTCCGTGTTACACCACACCCAGTGGTCTGTGTTACATCACACCCAGTGGTCCGTGTTACACAACACCCAGTGGTCCGTGTGACACCACACCCAGTGGTCCGTGTTACACCCTGTGGTCCGTGTTACACCACACCCAGTGGTCCGTGTTACACCACACCCAGTGGTCCGTGTTACACCACACCCAGTGGTCCGTGTTACACCACACCCAGTGGTCCGTGTTACACCACACCCAGTGGTCCGTGTTACACCCAGTGGTCCGTGTTACACCCAGTGGTCCGTGTTACACCCTGTGGTCCGTGTTACACCACACCCAGTGGTCCGTGTTACACCGCACCCAGTGGTCCGTGTTACACCACACCCAGTGGTCCGTGTTACACCCAGTGGTCCGTGTTACACTCAGTTGTCCGTCTTACACCCAGTGGTCCGTGTTACACCACACCCAGTGGTCCGTGTTACACCACACACAGTGGTCCGTGTTACACCCAGTGGTCCGTGTTACACCACACCCAGTGGTCCGTGTTACGGCCAGTGGTCCGTGTTACACCACACCCAGTGGTCCGTGTTACACCCAGTGGTCCGTGTTACAGCCAGTGGTCCGTGTTACACCCAGTGGTCCGTGTTACAGCCAGTGGTTCGTGTTACACCCAGTGGTCCGTGTTACACCCAGTGGTCCGTGTTACACCACACCCAGTGGTCCGTGTTACACCCAGTGGTCCGTGTTGCACCCAGTGGTCCGTGTTACACCACACCCAGTGGTCCGTGTTACACCACACCCAGTGGTCCGTGTTACACCACACCCAGTGGTCCGTGTTACACCACACCCAGTGGTCCGTGTTACACCACACCCAGTGGTCCGTGTTACACCACACCCAGTGGTCCGTGTTACACCCAGTGGTCCGTGTTACACCACACCCAGTGGTCCGTGTTACATCACACCCAGTGGTCCGTGTTACACAACACCCAGTGGTCCGTGTGACACCACACCCAGTGGTCCGTGTTACACCCTGTGGTCCGTGTTACACCACACCCAGTGGTCCGTGTTACACCACACCCAGTGGTCCGTGTTACACCACACCCAGTGGTCCGTGTTACACCACACCCAGTGGTCCGTGTTACACCCAGTGGTCCGTGTTACACCCAGTGGTCCGTGTTACACCACACCCAGTGGTCCGTGTTACACCACACCCAATGGTCCGTGTTACACCCAGTGGTCCGTGTTACACCCAGTGGTCCGTGTTACACCCTGTGGTCCGTGTTACACCACACCCAGTGGTCCGTGTTACACCACACCCAATGGTCCGTGTTACACCCAGTGGACCGTGTTACACCCAGTGGTCCGTGTTACACCCAGTGGTCCGTGTTACACCCAGTGGTCCGTGTTACACCACACCCAGTGGTCCGTGTTACACCCAGTGGTCCGTGTTACACCCAGTGGTCCGTGTTACACCCTGTGGTCCGTGTTACACCACACCCAGTGGTCCGTGTTACACCGCACCCAGTGGTCCGTGTTACACCACACCCAGTGGTCCGTGTTACACCCAGTGGTCCGTGTTACACCCAGTTGTCCGTCTTACACCCAGTGGTCCGTGTTACACCACACCCAGTGGTCCGTGTTACACCACACCCAGTGGTCCGTGTTACACCCAGTGGTCCGTGTTACACCCTGTGGTCCGTGTTACACCACACCCAGTGGTCCGTGTTACACCCTGTGGTCCGTGTTACACCACACCCAGTGGTCCGTGTTACACCGCACCCAGTGGTCCGTGTTACACCACACCCAGTGGTCCGTGTTACACCCAGTGGTCCGTGTTACACCCAGTGGTCCGTGTTACACCCAGTGGTCCGTGTTACACCCAGTGGTCCGTGTTACACCACACCCAATGGTCCGTGTTACACCCAGTGGTCCGTGTTACACCCAGTGGTCCGTGTTACACCCTGTGGTCCGTGTTACACCACACCCAGTGGTCCGTGTTACACCGCACCCAGTGGTCCGTGTTACACCACACCCAGTGGTCCGTGTTACACCCAGTGGTCCGTGTTACACCCAGTTGTCCGTCTTACACCCAGTGGTCCGTGTTACACCACACCCAGTGGTCCGTGTTACACCACACCCAGTGGTCCGTGTTACACCCAGTGGTCCGTGTTACACCACACCCAGTGGTCCGTGTTACGGCCAGTGGTCCGTGTTACACCACACCCAGTGGTCCGTGTTACACCCAGTGGTCCGTGTTACACCCAGTGGTCCGTGTTACACCCAGTGGTCCGTGTTACAGCCAGTGGTTCGTGTTACACCCAGTGGTCCGTGTTACACCCAGTGGTCCGTGTTACACCACACCCAGTGGTCCGTGTTACACCCAGTGGTCCGTGTTGCACCCAGTGGTCCGTGTTACACCACACCCAGTGGTCCGTGTTACACCACACCCAGTGGTCCGTGTTACACCACACCCAGTGGTCCGTGTTACACCACACCCAGTGGTCCGTGTTACACCCAGTGGTCCGTCTTACACCCAGTGGTCCGTGTTACACCACACCCAGTGGTCCGTGTTACACCCAGTGGTCCGTGTTACACCCAGTGGTCCGTGTTACACCACACCCAGTGGTCCGCGTACATCACACCCTGTGGTCCGTGTTACACCAACCCAGTGGTCCGTGTTACACCCAGTGGTCCGTGTTACACCACACCCAGTGGTCCGTGTTACACCCAGTGGTCCGTGTTACACCACACCCAGTGGTCCGTGTTACACCACACCTAGTGGTCCGTGTTACACCACACCCAGTGGTCCGTGTTACACCCAGTGGTCCGTCTTACACCCAGTGGTCCGTGTTACACCACACCCAGTGGTCCGTGTTACACCCAGTGGTCCGTGTTACACCCAGTGGTCCGTGTTACACCACACCCAGTGGTCCGTGTTACACCCAGTGGTCCGTGTTACACCACACCAAGTGGTCCGTGTTACACCCAGTGGTCCGTGTTACACCACACCCAGTGGTCCGTGTTACACCACACCCAGTGGTCCGTGTTACACCCAGTGGTCCGTGTTACACCCAGTGGTCCGTGTTACACCACACCCAGTGGTCCGTGTTACACCACACCCAGTGGTCCGTGTTACACCCAGTGGTCCGTGTTACACCACACCCAGTGGTCCGTGTTACACCCAGTGGTCCGTGTTACACCACATCCAGTGGTCCGTGTTACACCACATCCAGTGGTCCGTGTTACACCTAGTGGTCCGTGTTACACCACACCCAGTGGTCCGTGTTACACCCAGTGGTCCGTGTTACACCCAGTGGTCCGTGTTACACCACATCCAGTGGTCCGTGTTACACCACACCCAGTGGTCCGTGTTACACAACACCCAGTGGTCCGTGTTACACCACATCCAGTGGTCCGTGTTACACCCAGTGGTCCGTGTTACACCACACCCAGTGGTCCGTGTTACACCCAGTGGTCCGTGTTACACCACACCCAGTGGTCCGTGTTACACCACACCCAGTGGTCCGTGTTACACCCAGTGGTCCGTGTTACACCACACCCAGTGGTCCGTGTTACACCACACCCAGTGGTCCGTAATACACCAAACCCAGTGGTCCGTGTTACACCACACCCAGTGTTCCGTGTTACACCACACCCAGTGGTCCGTGTTACACCCAGTGGTCCGTGTTACACCACACCCAGTGGTCCGTGTTACACCCAGTGGTCCGTGTTGCACCCAGTGGTCAGTGTTACACCACACCCAGTGGTCCGTGTTACACCCAGTAGTCCGTGTTACACCACACCCAGTGGTCCGTGTTACACCCTGTGGTCCGTGTTACACCCAGTGGTCCGTGTTACACCACACCCAGTGGTCCGTGTTACACCACACCCAGTGGTCCGTTTTACACCCAGTGGTCCGTGTTACACCCAGTGGTCCGTGTTACACCACACCCAGTGGTCCGTGTTACACCACACCCAGTGGTCCGTGTTACACCCAGTGGTCCGTGTTACACCCAGTGGTCCGTGTTACACCACACCCAGTGGTCCGTGTTACACCACACCCAGTGGTCGGTGTTACACCCAGTGGTCCATGTTACACCCAGTGGTCCGTGTTACACCACACCCAGTGGTCCGTGTTACACCACACCCAGTGGTCCGTGTTACACCCTGTGGTCCGTGTTACACCCTGTGGTCCGTGTTACACCCAGTGGTCCGTGCTACACCCTGTGGTCCGTGTTACACCACACCCAGTGGTCCGTGTTACACCCTGTGGTCCGTGTTACACCCTGTGGTCCGTGTTACACCCAGTGGTCCGTGCTACACCCTGTGGTCCGTGTTACACCACACCCAGTGGTCCGTGTTACACCCTGTGGTCCGTGTTACACCCAGTGGTCCGTGTTACACCACACCCAGTGGTCCGTGTTACACCCAGTGGTCCGTGTTACACCCAGTGGTCCGTGTTACACCACACCCAGTGGTCCGTGTTACACCCTGTGGTCCGTGTTACACCCAGTGGTCCGTGTTACACCACACCCTGTGGTCCGTGTTACACCCAGTGGTCCGTGTTACACCACACCCAGTGGTCCGTGCTACACCCTGTGGTCCGTGTTACACCACACCCAGTGGTCCGTGTTACACCCTGTGGTCCGTGTTACACCCAGTGGTCCGTGTTACACCACACCCAGTGTTCCGTGTTACACCACACCCAGTGGTCCGTGTTACACCCAGTGGTCCGTGTTACACCACACCCAGTGGTCCGTGTTACACCCTGTGGTCCGTGTTACACCCAGTGGTCCGTGTTACACCACACCCTGTGGTCCGTGTTACACCCAGTGGTCCGTGTTACACCACACCCAGTGGTCCGTGTTACACCCAGTGGTCCGTGTTACACCCAGTGGTCCGTGTTACACCACACCCTGTGGTCCGTGTTACACCCAGTGGTCCGTGTTACACCACACCCAGTGGTCCGTGTTACACCACACCCTGTGGTCCGTGTTACACCCAGTGGTCCGTGTTACACCACACCCAGTGGTCCGTGTTACACCACACCCTGTGGTCCGTGTTACACCCAGTGGTCCGTGTTACACCACACCCAGTGGTCCGTGTTACACCCTGTGGTCCGTGTTACACCCTGTGGTCCGTGTTACACCCTGTGGTCCGTGTTACACCCAGTGGTCCGTGTTACACCCAGTGGTCCGTGTTACACCCAGTGGTCCGTGTTACACCACACCCAGTGGTCCGTGTTACACCCTGTGGTCCGTGTTACACCACACCCAGTGGTCCGTGTTACACCACACCCAGTGGTCCGTGTTACACCCAGTGGTCCGTGTTACACCACACCCAGTGGTCCGTGTTACACCACACCCAGTGGTCCGTGTTACACCCTGTGGTCCCCACTAACCTGTGGTCCACCTCCCCAGACTGTCAAGATGGCCGCCTGTGTGCACGCTCTCCTCCTGGTCCTCTTGTTTGTAGCGCTCACCCACGGTACGTGCATTGTGTTTTTATAGACGTCATATGGTGCATTGTGTTGTTATAGACGTCATTTGGTGCATTGTGTTTTATAGATGTCATATGGATGTCATTGTGTTTTTATAGACGTCATATGGTGCATTGTGTTTTTATAGACGTCATATGGTGCATTGTGTTTTTATAGGCGTCAAGTGGACATCATTGTGTTTTTATAGACGTCATATGGTGCATTGTGTTTTTATAGACGTCATATGGTGCTTTGTGTTTTTATAGGCGTCAAGTGGACGTCATTGTGTTTTTATAGACGTCATATGGTGCATTATGTTTTTATAGGCGCCAAGTGGACGTCATTGTGTTTTTATAGACGTCATATGGTGCACTGTGTGTTTATAGACGTCTTATTGTGTTTTTATAGACGACATTTGGTGTATTCTGTTTTTTTATTCGTATGTTTGTAGGTTTAATGGTAGGTTTTATGCTAGACTTAGAGATAGGTTTAGCGGTAGGTTTAGTGTTAGATTTAGTTGTAGGTTTACAACGCACAATATGGACGTCAATATGCCATAAAGAACAGAATGCACCAAATAAAATATTTATGCTTGACGTATCATTTGTAACAGTTACTGCGGGAGAGGAATTTTACGAAGAGACGTTTTCATCTGTAAATCTGTTCGGGTTGTACAAGTCGTTCAGCCATAGCAGACGATGCAAGTAAGTTTTGATTATGATTTCAGGAATAAAAATACAGTGAATTAATTAATACCTTTTAAAACAATGAACTTGTTTATTTATGATTTCAGCTCTAGAGAATACGACGGGTCTGCGTGGACTGCGGTTTATTGTTTAATTGTCGTCATCTTTTTGCTCATTGCCAAAATGGTATTTGGGAAAAGTAAGTAGTTCGCAATATAGACTCTAAATTGTTTTATTTATTATTTTTTTATTTTATTTAGTTGGCTGCATTCATTATAATCATTTATATCATTATAGTCATTTATATAATTTTAATCATTTACATCATTATAATCATTTATATCATTATAATCATTTATATAATTATAATCATTTATATCATTATAATCATGTATGTCATTATAATTATTTATATCATTATAATCATTTATATCATTGTAATCATTTATATAATAATTAATCATTTATATAATTATAATCATCTATATCATTATAATTATTTATATTATTATGAAGTCGTTTTGTTCCAGAACAAAAAGGAAATCAAGTTGAAGCAGCTGACAAGGGAAACAATATTCCAGAGAATCCTATCCACCCCAAGTCCTCACAGTCCATCGATGAGATCAAAGAAAACTCAGGTAGAATCCATGTTGCTGCTTGTAAATAAAATATTCTGTTTCTTTTCTGTTGAAGTTCTTGATACAGGTGAACTCTACTTTAATCTTCCCCAAGTGTCTTGGATACTCACGGAAAAGAATATGATATATATATACATACATTAATATATATATATATATATATATATATATATATATATATATATATATATATATATATATATAAATGTACATACATTAATATATATATATATATATATATATATATATATACATACATTAATATATATATATAATATATACATACATATATAATATATACATATATATATATATATATATATATATATATATATATATATATATATATATATATATATACATACATATATACATACATATATATACATACATATATACATACATATATATATATATATATATATATATATATATATTTACAGCTGGGATGACGTGCGTTGCCCCTGGCGACGAGAACAAAAACGACACGTTGACAACTTGTCCCTCAGACCAGAAGATCGTGGAGTCAGGGACCCAGAAGAAGCTCTACACTGGTGATTAGACACCAAGTGTGATTAGTGTAACTAAGGGACAGAACTGCGACTCCCTCATTAAACTATATTGTCCTGTAAAGCAATATATTCCTTTTTTATTTTCAAAAATAAAAATTTTAACATTTTTTAGGGAGAAATATATATTTATTATTTTTCTAAGCTTTTTTAAAAATGTGATAAACAAATATTCGGCACTTTAATTATATTTCATAATTAGGTGCCCGCACTCACTTATATTCTAAACAATTTGTTAGGGCCTATTTGTAGTATTATTTAAAATGCGTTAGTTTTAAAACTCATTTTTTTAAAAATAAAATAACTATCGCGAGATATACTACAATATACAAACACGTTATTAAAATGTAATTTTTATGTCATAAAAATCTGCGTAGTAATTTCTTCTAATTATTTTTTTAAAAAGCTCGTTAAAATTTTTAATGGATAAAAGTTTTTCTACTCTAAGTACAAGTGAATTGTGATACGATAATACATAATACCTTACTTAAAATAGTTATGTGTAATATATTCTTTGATCTGTTTCTGCAAACACATACAATAAAATAATAAATTATAAATGATTAATAAATAATAAATGATCTTCCTTTTTTAGTTGAACTCTTTTTTTTTAAAGTTAGCAATGTAAACAGATAGTAATATTTGAAAACCAAGGGTAGACAACGATACAGAATATAGCACAAGTAGAGACATAACAGTGCAAGTAAAGATAGACGTGCAACCACTTCTGCCAATCAGCTCTACAAATCTAGAGCTTTCATGGCAGACCACTATCACAGCTTGTACACGTAGGTCGCGGGCTGACTTGACCTCTGAACCCCGAACTGTCTGACCGCTAGCCTCATAAACACAACAAGGACCATTGATTATTATTGGCCATTATTCGACCAGACAAGCGACACGCACATACAGGCAGGATGATACAAATAGTAGCTTCCTTATATTAGCTAAAGTAAATAATTATAAACATCAACGACCCATTAAAGTTTGTGGGGGGGGGGGGGGGAAGGGAAGGGAGGAATCAAACGTGTATTTTATTCTGGAAAATGTAAATCACACTAAAAAGCATACTTTACTTTTTTCCAGACTAAAGTACATAAGTGATTACCCCCCACCCCCCCTCCCCCCGGATCAGACTGACACCTGGAAATCAGCATCTAACACCCAGAATGTTCTGGACAAAAGTTTGTTATCAACCATCAATAAAAACCTTCTTGTGATGATACAGACACCTACGTGAATAGAGCTGATGACTGTTGATCTATTGTAGGTGTTGATCTATTGTAGGTGTTGATCAGTTGTAGGTGTTGATCAGTTGTAGGTGTTGATCAGTTGTAGGTGTTGATCAATTGTAGGTGTTGATCAATTGTAGGTGTTGATCAATTGTAGGTGTTGATCAATTGTAGGTGTTGATCAATTGTAGGTGTTGATCAATTGTAGGTGTTGATCAATTGTAGGTGTTGATCAATTGTAGGTGTTGATCAATTGTAGGTGTTGATCAGTTGTAGGTGTTGATCAGTTGTAGGTGTTGATCAGTTGTAGGTATTGATCAATTGTATGTGTTGATCAACTGTAGGTGTTGATCAATTGTATGTGTTGATTAATTGTAGGTGTTGATCAATTGTATGTGTTGATCAATTGTAGGTGTTGATCAATTGTAGGTGTTGATCAATTGTAGGTGTTGATCAATTGTAGGTGTTGATCAATTGTAGGTGTTGATCAATTGTAGGTGTTGATCAATTGTAGGTGTTGATCAATTGTAGGTGTTGATCAATTGTAGGTGTTGATCAATTGTAGGTGTTGATCAATTGTAGGTGTTGATCAGTTGTAGGTGTTGATCAATTGTAGGTGTTGATCAATTGCAGTGTTGATCAATTGTAGGTGTTGATCAATTGTAGGTGTTGATCAATTGTAGGTGTTGATCAATTGTAGGTGTTGATCAATTGTAGGTGTTGATCAATTGTAGGTGTTGATCAACCTAAGGTGTCAGCCTTAGTATTTTATGACCAGAGATGATTTTTCAGAATTCAAGGAGATAGTTCCTTTAACATTCAACATTGGTGGCCGTTCTAGAGAAGATGGAATGGTGTTAAAACTAGGGCAAGTGTACACTATTTGGGCTAATTGGTCGGTTGTTATAATTGGGCCTAATGGTAGGTTGTTATAATTGGGCTAAATGGTCAGTTGTTATAATTGGGCTACAGGGTTGGTTGTTATAATTGGGCTACATGGTTGGTTGTTAAAATTGTGCTACAGGGTTGGTTGTTATAATTGGGCTACATGGTTGTTATAATTGGGATACATGGTTGGTTGTTATAATTTGGCTATATGGTCGGTTGTTATAATTGGGCTACAAGCTTGTTATATAAAGAATACACAAGCACTGCAATGAACACATTCGTATCTGTTTATACAGTACAAGTTCAGTTAAAAACTACTTTTACTCATTCAGATTTAGAGTACAATTACACACACAAAGGTAAAATTGCACACTGTAGGAATTTCGAACGTTTTAATGAACTCAAGTAACATGGCAAGAATAATATGGAGTATTTTTAAATCAAACACCAGCCTTGTTGCTATGACAACCTGCTGATTTCTATAGTTCCAGCTAGGCTCACCAGTCTAAACAGACCATATCCAGGGGACAGAACTCACTGAGGACAGGGAATGGAGTGAGTCCAGTTGTAGGTGGTGGTTTGATGATGATAAATCCAGTCGTCACCATCTATGGGTGAGAGGTGTGTGTGTGTGTGGGTGGGAGGTGTGTGTGTGGGTGGGAGGTGTGTGTGTGGGTGGGAGGTGTGTGTGTGGGTGGGAGGTGTGTGTGTGGGTGGGAGGTGTGTGTGTGGGTGGGAGGTGGGTAGGTGTGTGGGAGGTGTGTGAGGTGTGTGGGTGTGAGGTGTGTGGGTGTGAGGTGTGTGTTGGTAGGAGGTGTGTGTTGGTGTGAGGTGTGTGGGAGGTGCGTGGGTGTGAGGTGGGTGGGTGGGAGGTGTGTGGGTGGGTGTGAGGTGGGTGGGTGGGTGTGTGGTGTGTGGGTGTGAGGTGTGTGGGTGTGAGGTGTGTGGGTGGTATGCTAGAACTTGAGTGCCAAATAGAATTTGTATTGTGTGACGCTTGACTTGGGTGTAGGGGGTAGATTGGAAAAGATAATGTGGGGGTATGACTGCAGTCATCAATATGACTGATGTCATCAGTATGACTGCAGTCATCAATAAATTTAGAGATGTGGACACATTGTATAATGGGATCCTATCAGCATTTCTAATTATAATGTCAAGTATTCACATATCTATTACATGTGTAACTATAATGTCAAGTATTCACATATCACATATTCACATATCTATAACATGTGTAACTATAAGATCAGGAATTCACATATCTATTACATCTGTAACTATAATGTCGAGTATTCACATATCTATTACATCTGTAACTAAAATGTCAGGAATTCATATCTAGGACTAAGAACAAATTTAGGACCTAGAACATCTACAGGACAAGAACATCTACAGGACAAGAACATCTACAGGACAAGAACATCTACAGGACAAGAACATCTACAGTACCAAGAACATCTACAGTACCAAGAACATCTACAGGACAAGAACATCTACAGGACAAGAACATCTACAGGATGAAGAGAACCAATAGGATCAAGAAAAACTTGGGACAAAAATGTCAAAAAGAACATGAGAATGACAGATGTCAACTTTGGGGAAATAAGTCTGACATATTCCAGATCAGTACAAACCACATCACTTGTTTTTCTTGAAGAAATCAGCTTTACATTCCTCAATCATTTTCACATCACTTGTTTTTCTTGAAGAAATCAGCTTTACAATCCTCAATCATTTTCACATCACTTGTTTTTCTTGAAGAAATCAGCTTTACATTCCTCAATCATTTTCACATCACTTGTTTTTCTTGAAGAAATCAGCTTTACAATCCTCAATCATTTTCACATCACTTGTTTTTCTTGAAGAAATCAGTTTTACACTCCTCAATCATTTTCACATCACTTGTTTTTCTTGAAGAAATCAGCTTTACAATCCTCAATCATTTTCCGCACATCAACATGATGGGTGATGTTTGCCGCCTCAGGGTGATCCTTCAAATATTTTTCTTTGGCTGCAGTGGCAGCTTGTGCCACATCCTGGAAGTGGATCTTTGCAGCTTTCCTTTCTACACAGCTGTGGAGGGTCACAGAAAGTAGGTGTCACGTGGTCTGGTCAAATCATTTCTTTAGGGGGGGGGGGGGTTACAGAAAGTAGGTGTCACATGGTCTGGTCAAATCATTTCTTTAGGGGGGGGGGGGGGTTACAGAAAGTAGGTGTCACATGGTCTGGTCAAATCATTTCTTTAGGGGGGGAGGGGTTACAGAAAGTAGGTGTCACGTGGTCTGGTCAAATCATTTCTTTGGGGGGGGGGGGGGGGAGGGGTTACAGATAGTAGGTGTCACGTGGTCTGGTCAAATCATTTCTTTAGGGGGGGGGGGGTCACAGAAAGTAGGTGTCACGTGGTCTGGTCAAATCATTTCTTTAGGAAGGTCACAGAAAGTAGGTGTCACGTGGTCTGGTCAAATCATTTCTTTAGGAAGGTCACAGAAAGTAGGTGTCACGTGGTCTGGTCAAATCATTTCTTTAGGAAGGTCACAGAAAGTAGGTGTTATGTGGTCTGTTAAATCATTTCTTTAGGGGGGGGAACAGAAAGTAGGTGTTACCTGCTCTCATCAAATCATTTCTTTAGGAAAATTAATGATTTTAGGGTATGCAAAAAATAGGAGTTATAAGAAAATCTCAACTAACATTTTTAAGAAAACAGTCAAAATCAGTTGACACAAGATCTAGACACACTAGTTGACACAAGATCTAGACACTCGAGTGTCTTAAACCTACTTCTCATTGTCCTTGAAATGGTCGTAGTCGATGTCATTTTGCTTGCAGACGTAACAGCTGGTGGCCCCACAGGCACATGTCATCTTGTTACAACCAGCGTCCTTGACAAAACGTTTGCCACAGACATGACATGTGCGCATGACAGCCTCGGCTATGCTGTTCTCTATGAACGTTCTCATCTGGACGTCGTGACGCTTCTCTACTTCGTCACATCGCAGTGGGATGTGGCTTGGCTCTTTACACAGCCTGCAACATTCATTGAGTCACTTGTAAACACTAACAAGGTCAACAAGGTCAAGGATGTTCTAGCATATGAAACTGTAAACAAACCCCTTGATTTGATCAAGTCATGTACTGACTAGCACAGGAAATATTTCAATTGTTACAAGGGCAATGACATGTACAAGACACAAACAGCCAGATGACATGTACAAGACACAAACAGCCAGATGACATGTACAGGACACAAACAGCCAGATGACATGTACAGGACACAAACAGCCAGATGACATGTACAAGACACAAACAGCCAGATGACATGTACAAGACACAAACAGCCAGATGACATGTACAAGACACAAACAGCCAGATGACATGTACAAGACACAAACAGCCAGATGACATGTACAAGACACAAACAGCCAGATGACATGTACAAGACAAAAACAGCCAGATGACATGTACAAGACACAAACAGTCAGATGACATGTACAAGACACAAACAGCCAGATGACATGTACAAGACACAAACAGCCAGATGACATGTACAAGACACAAACAGCCAGATGACATGTACAAGACACAAACAGCCAGATGACATGTACAGGACACAAACAGCCAGATGACATGTACAGGACACAAACAGCCAGATGACATGTACAGGACACAAACAGCCAGATGACATGTACAAGACACAAACAGCCAGATGACATGTACAGGACACAAACAGCCAGATGACATGTACGAGACACAAACAGCCAGATGACATGTACAGGACACAAACAGCCAGATGACATGTACAGGACACAAACAGCCAGATGACATGTACAAGACACAAACAGCCAGATGACATGTACAAGACACAAACAGCCAGATGACATGTACAAGACACAAACAGCCAGATGACATGTACAAGACACAAACAGCCAGATGACATGTACAAGACACAAACAGCCAGATGACATGTACAAGACACAAACAGCCAGATGACATGTACAAGACACAAACAGCCAGATGACATGTACAAGACACAAACAGCCAGATGACATGTACAAGACACAAACAGCCAGATGACATGTACAGGACACAAACAGCCAGATGACATGTACAGGACACAAACAGCCAGATGACATGTACAGGACACAAACAGCCAGATGACATGTACAAGACACAAACAGCCAGATGACATGTACAGGACACAAACAGCCAGATGACATGTACAAGACACAAACAGCCAGATGACATGTACAAGACACAAACAGCCAGATGACATGTACAAGACACAAACAGCCAGATGACATGTACAAGACACAAACAGCCAGATGACATGTACAAGACACAAACAGTCAGATGACATGTACAGGACACAAACAGCCAGATGACATGTACAAGACACAAACAGCCTGATGACATATACCGGACACAGCCACACCATCCTTACCTACAAGACTCTCTCAGACAATCTGGATTCAGACATTTTAACACCTTGTCGTCGTGGTCTGGCATGATTGTGGCGTAAGGACAAAATGGGCAGACAACCAGGTCTGGGAGTTTAGCATGTAGGACTTCCTCCTCCTGGATCCTGCGAACTATCTTTGAGAACAAGTTGCTGGGTAGGACGGTCTGTAGGGTGGTCAGTGCCACATCTTGGTCACAGTAGCCTGTCAGACATGGGAACCTGTAGGGTAGAGGGAACACGTTGGGTAGAGGGAACCTGTTGGCTAGAGGGAACCTGTTGGGTAGAGGGAACCTGTTGGCTAGAGGGAACCTGTTGGCTAGAGGGAACCTGTTGGCTAGAGGGAACCTGTTGGCTAGAGGGAACCTGTTGGGTAGAGGGAACCTGTTGGGTAGAGGGAACCTGTTGGGTAGAGGGAACCTGTTGGGTAGAGGGAACCTGTTGGGTAGAGGGAACCTGTTGGGTAGAGGGAACCTGTTGGGTAGAGGGAACCTGTTGGCTAGAGGGAACCTGTTGGGTAGAGGGAACCTGTTGGGTAGAGGGAACCTGTTGGGTAGAGGGAACCTGTTGGGTAGAGGGAACCTGTTGGGTAGAGGGAACCTGTTGGGTAGAGTAAACCTGTTGGGTAGAGGGAACCTGTTAGGTAGGGAACCTGTTGGGTAGAGGGAACATGTTGGGTAGAGGGAACCTGTTGGGTAGGGAACCTGTTGGGTAGAGGGAACCTGTTGGGTAGAGGGAACCTGTTGGGTAGAGGGAACCTGTTGGGTAGAGGGAACCTGTTGGGTAGAGGGAACCTGTTGTGTAGAGGGAACCTGTTGGCTAGAGGGAACCTGTTGGGTAGAGGAAACCTGTTGGGTAGAGGGAACCTGTTGGGTAGAGGGAACCTGTTGGGTAGAGGGAACCTGTTGGGTAGAGGGAACCTGTTGGGTAGAGGGAACCTGTTGGGTAGAGGGAACCTGTTGGGTAGAGGGAACCTGTTGTGTAGAGGGAACCTGTTGGCTAGAGGGAACCTGTTGGGTAGAGGGAACCTGTTGGGTAGAGGGAACCTGTTGGCTAGAGGGAACCTGTTGGGTAGAGGGAACCTGTTGGGTAGAGGGAACCTGTTGGGTAGAGGGAACCTGTTGGGTAGAGGGAACCTGTTGGGTAGAGGGAACCTGTTGGGTAGAGGGAACCTGTTGGGTAGAGGGAACCTGTTGGGTAGAGGGAACCTGTTGGGTAGAGGGAACCTGTTGTGTAGAGGGAACCTGTTGGCTAGAGGGAACCTGTTGGGTAGAGGGAACCTGTTGGGTAGAGGGAACCTGTTGGCTAGAGGGAACCTGTTGGGTAGAGGGAACCTGTTGGGTAGAGGGAACCTGTTGGGTAGAGGGAACCTGTTGGATACAGGGAACCTGTTGCGTAGAGGGAACCTGTTGGGTAGAGGGAACATGTTGGGTAGAGGGAACCTGTTAGGTAGGGAACCTGTTGGGTAGAGGGAACCTGTTGGGTAGGGAACCTGTTGGGTACAGGGAACCTGTTGCGTAGAGGGAACCTGTTGGGTAGAGGGAACCTGTTGGGGTAGAGGGAACCTGTTGGGTAGAGGGAACCTGTTGGGTAGAGGGAACCTGTTGGGTAGAGGGAACCTGTTGGATACAGGGAACCTGTTGCGTAGAGGGAACCTGTTGGGTAGAGGGAACATGTTGGGTAGAGGGAACCTGTTAGGTAGGGAACCTGTTGGGTAGAGGGAACCTGTTGGGTAGGGAACCTGTTGGGTACAGGGAACCTGTTGCGTAGAGGGAACCTGTTGGGTAGAGGGAACCTGTTGGGGTAGAGGGAACCTGTTGGGGTAGAGGGAACCTGTTGGGTAGAGGGAACCTGTTGGGTAGAGGGAACAGTCAGACATGTGAACTGTGGGGTAGAGGGAACCTGTTGGGTAGGGAACCTGTTGGGTAGGGAACCTGTTGGGTAGGGAACATGTTGGGTAGGGAACCTGTTGGTTAGGGAACATGTTGGTTAGGGAACCTTTTGGGTAGAGGGAACCTGTTGGGTAGAGGGAACCTGTTGGGTAGAGGGAACCTGTTGGGTAGAGGGAACCTGTTGGGTAGAGGGAACCTGTTGGGTAGAGGGAACCTGTTGGGTAGAGGGAACCTGTTGGGTAGAGGGAACCTGTTGGGTAGAGGGAACCTGTTGGTTAGGGAACATGTTGGTTAGGGAACCTGTTGGGTAGAGGGAACCTGTTGGGTAGAGGGAACCTGTTGGGTAGAGGGAACCTGTTGGGTAGAGGGAACCTGTTGGGTAGAGGGAACCTGTTGGGTAGAGGGAACCTGTTGGGTAGAGGGAACCTGTTGGGTAGAGGGAACCTGTTGGGTAGAGGGAACAGTCAGACATGTGAACTGTGGGGTAGAGGGAACCTGTTGGGTAGAGGGAACCTGTTGGGTAGGGAACCTGTTGGGTAGGGAACATGTTGGGTAGGGAACCTGTTGGGTAGGGAACCTGTTGGGTAGAGGGAACCTGTTGGGTAGAGGGAACCTGTTGGGTAGAGGGAACCTGTTGGCTAGAGGGAACCTGTTGGGTAGAGGGAACACGTTGGGTAGAGGGAACCTGTTGGGTAGGGAACCTGTTGGGTAGAGGGAACCTGTTGGGTAGAGGGAACCTGTTGGGTAGAGGGAACCTGTTGGGTAGAGGGAACCTGTTGGGTAGAGGGAACCTGTTGTGTAGAGGGAACCTGTTGGCTAGAGGGAACCTGTTGGCTAGAGGGAACCTGTTGGGTAGAGGGAACCTGTTGGGTAAAGGGAACTTGTTGGGTAGAGGGAACACGTTGGGTAGAGGGAACATGTTGGGTAGAGGGAACCTGTTGGGTAGAGGGAACCTGTTGGGTAGGGAACCTGTTGGGTAGAGGGAACCTGTTGGGTAGAGGGAACCTGTTGGGTAGAGGGAACCTGTTGGGTAAAGGGAACTTGTTGGGTAGAGGGAACACGTTGGGTAGAGGGAACATGTTGGGTAGAGGGAACCTGTTGGGTAGAGGGAACCTGTTGGGTAGAGGGAACCTGTTGGCTAGAGGGAACCTGTTGGCAAGAGGGAACAGTTAAACTTGGGAACCTAAGACATGGGTAAAAAAAAGTAAAGATTTCTTTTAGAGCTAGCACCCCATTGTGCAGGTGAAGTAGAGTTCATGACCTCAGCACTTTACTTTCCCTAATGTGAGTTGGGTACCCATTAGATCTGAGTGGACTCTGGGATGTTCCACAGATTTGAACCTGAATTAGATTTAGGTGACAAGTCTAGCACTCTAGCGCTAAGCCTTCCCATGTGTAAGGGCAGTACAAGAAGAATAAAAAAAGCCACATGCACACAATGACCACATGCACACAATGACCACATGCACACAATGACCACATGCACACAATGACCACATGCACACAATGACCGCATGCACACAATGACCGCATGCACACAATGACCGCATGCACACAATGACCACATGCACACAATGACCACATGCACACAATGACCACATGCACACAATGACCGCATTAAAAAACAATTACAAACAGTTACTAATTGATATAGTCAACGACAAATTGACAAAATATGGTGTGGCTGTCTTATAAAATATGGTGTGCCTGTCTTATAAAATATGGTGTGCCTGTCTTATAAAATATGGTGTGCCTGTCTTATAAAATATGGTGTGCCTGTCTTATAAAATATGGTGTGCCTGTCTTATAAAATATGGTGTGCCTGTCTTATAAAATATGGTGTGCCTGTCTTATAAAATATGGTGTGCCTGTCTTATAAAATATGGTGTGCCTGTCTTATAAAATATGGTGTGCCTGTCTTATAAAATATGGTGTGCCTGTCTTATAAAATATGGTGTGCCTGTCTTATAAAATATGGTGTGCCTGTCTTATAAAATATGGTGTGTCTGTCTTATAAAATATGGTGTGCCTGTCTTATAAAATATGGTGTGCCTGTCTTATAAAATATGGTGTGCCTGTCTTATAAAATATGGTGTGCCTGTCTTGACTACCTTGTCTTCATGTTGCTGAAGGCAGTCTGCACGTAGCTGACCAGACACTCCCTACAGAAGATGTGGGCGTCAGGACAACTGGTCATCTCTTCAAACAGGCACTCGTTTAAACAGCAACAGCACTCGTAGCTCTGTCCGCTCTGCTGCGCCTTCCGTAGCATGGCTTTCTTTTCTTCCTCTTTCCTCTGCTGGTAAGCTGGTATAAATAGACAAGACCATCTGTGACACTAGCAAGTTGTAAATAGCTACCTAACATTAAATACTAATGGAGCTTACAGCTTTCTAATTAATTAAACAAAAATTCTAGTTCAATTACTGGTTTTAAAATTACCTAACACCATCTGTTCATTTTCAATAAACCACTTCTCCATGGAGAATCTTTCATCTCTGTCCTTTGGTATTTCATGCCATTTTCTTTTCTTTCTTTTTCTTATTGCATTAGTTGCTCCTCAGAGAGAAAAAAATGTTTTTATATAAGAAATGACATGTCAGGTATAAACTAAAATGTTTTTATATAAGAAAGGACATGTCAGGTATAAACTAAAATGTTTTTATATAAGAAAGGACATGTCAGGTATAAACTAAAATGTTTTTATATAAGAAATGACATGTCAGGTATAAACTAAAATGTTTTTAAAAACAATTGTATCTGTATTATATCATATTATACATAGGCCTATATATATATATATATATATATATATATATATAT